GGCGGAGCCATATGGGGTGTGGCACGCTACGGGGGCGTGGCTATGAGGCGGCGGGGCCGCGCCCAGCAGCGCTGTGCTGCGCATGCGTGGCGCTATGGCGCCCGCCAGAGCCGTCATGGCCGACGGCTGCGGGCCCGAGCCGGAGCCGGAGCCCGACCCCGAAACGGAGCCGCTGCGGCTGCGGTGCCTGCGGGGTGAGGGGTACTTCGAGGTGCCGGCGGCGGAGCGGGTGAGCGCGGCCCGGGAGCCCCGGGGACTGCGGTTGTCGGAGGCCCTGCGGGACGGGTGACCCGCGGGCCCGGCACGGGGCGGAGGGGTCCGGGCGGCCTGGAGCGGGTGCCCGCGGTCAGGGGTGCTGGGCTCGGCAGCAGCACCGCGGGTCGGGCCGCGGGAGCGTGGCTGAAGGCGCTGTGCGGTGCCGGGGGGCTGGGGCCGTGACCGCTCGGTGCGATGCGGCTCTTCGGTTGTAGCTGGGGAGATGCCGGAGCGTGAAGGAGTTCGAGAAGCTGAACCGGATCGGAGAGGGCACCTACGGCATCGTGTGTAAGTGCGGAGCCGGCCGCTCCACCTCAGCTTGAGGGCGCTGTCATAGCCAGTAAAGCTGGGAAGAGGCTCCGCGTTTGCCGGTGCTGACCGCGTGTCGTGTTCTTCCAGACCGGGCCCGGGACACGCTGACAAACGAGATCGTGGCACTGAAGAAGGTGCGGATGGACAGTGAGAAAGATGGTAATGGAGGAGCAGGAGAGCTGTGGCAGGGGCGTCCCCGGCCCCTGCTCGAGGCAGTCATGCAGCGTGGATGTTGCTCTTTGCAGGAATGCCTGTCAGCAGCCTACGGGAGATCACACTGCTGCTGCAGTTTCGGCACACCAACATCGTGGAGCTCAAAGAGGTGGTTGTAGGGAACCATCTGGAGAGGTGGGATTCCCTCCTCTGGCCTCCCATTGTCTCCCGTCTTCTCTGCCTTTCAGAACCTGCACAGCCCCCTCTGCTGCCTCTCTCAGTGCAGACAAGTGCTGGAACACTGGAGAAGTGACATGGGGAAGGGTCCTGATTGTGTCTTGTCTATGACAGTATATTCCTCGTGATGGGGTACTGCGAGCAGGACCTAGCCAGTCTTCTTGAGAACATGCAGGCACCTTTTTCAGAGGCTCAGGTAAAGATCAGGCCAGGCTTCGGGCACGTTACCCCTGAGAGAGTGCTGCCAGATCACACTGGGCACCAGGGTGGGCTCCCTGGACCTTGTGCTGGGCTTCAGGAGGGCTGGGGAGTATCAGGGAGCCAGGATTCCTGGGCTTTGTGTGGAGCCTGGGCTTAGCTGGCCACTGGAGAACTCTCCAGGGCCTTTCCAGGCTGGGTTTTGGGCTGGAGCAAACTCTCAGGGGAACAGAGCTGGGAGAAAATGTGCCCCCAGGCAGCCCGTGGGGTGATTTGGCAGGACATGGGGACTTACACTCTGCAGAGCACTGACATACAGGGCAAACTGGAGGCACTCAAACGGGTTTAAGCACTGGGGGGGTTGCTGGTGCTGCCCTCATAGAGGTGGATGCTCCTGTCCTCTTTCTGTAGGTGAAGTGCATCATCCTGCAAGTCTTCAAGGGCCTGGAGTACCTTCACAAGAACTACATCGTCCACAGGTGGGAATGGAGGGATGAATGTAGGAAGTGAGGAAGGGGTCACAGGGAGAAGCAGCTGATGGGAGGAAGCCCTGCAACTACAGCGTTCTTCACCTCCCGCACCCATACCTGGGGACAAGCAGCACTCGGGGGGGTGGTTGAAGCAAATTGGTGGTTCCATGTGGGAGCAGGAGTGGGGCAAGGAGAGTTGAATGAATGATGGGATTAGCTTCGTCTCGTGGTCGCTTGGCTCAGGGCTCTGTAGCTGTCTATGAGCCCTGGATGTGCGTCCCTGAGGAGACGCAGGTACAGGAGGAGCTGGGCCTGAAGGGTGCTTCTGACCAAGCACTGACCTGCTCTTCCCTGGCAGGGATCTGAAGGTGTCCAACCTGCTCATGACTGACAAAGGCTGTGTGAAGATAGGTGAGCCCCCATCTGCTGCTGGTCCAGCTCCTGCCATGGATTGTACCCACATCTCTCCCTCTGTTCCGTGAGCCAGCTGGAGCCAAGAGCTTCCTCCTGATCCCAAGTCTCTGTTGCAGCTGATTTTGGACTGGCACGCACCTATGGGATGCCACCAAAGCCCATGACTCCCAAAGTTGTCACGCTTTGGTGAGTGGCTGGTGCTGGGGACAGAGCTGTGCTGGCTCAGTGTGACACAGCATTGTAGCAGGGTCTTCATTTGTCCCCTTGAGTCAGTGCTGACCCTTATGCAGGTACCGAGCACCTGAGCTGCTGCTGGGGATGGCGAACCAGACCACCAGCGTTGACATGTGGTAAGGGCAGGGCAGGGGAGGGGGCCTGCAAACCCGCAGGGTGGATCAATGGATGGGCTTTTCCTATCTCCACTGATTTTCATGTTGTCGGCCCTGCAGGGCTGCAGGCTGCATCCTCGCCGAGCTGCTGGCACACAAGCCACTGCTGCCGGGTACCTCAGAGATCCACCAGATCGATCTCATTGTGCAGCTCCTAGGGACACCCAACGAAAACATCTGGCCGGTGAGAGCAGTCCCCTGCTCCCTGCCCTCCCCTGCCTGCCCTGCCCTGCTCACCACCACCTCACACCTGACCCATGCAGGGCTTCTCCACGCTGCCCCTGGTGAGCCAGTACACGCTGCGGAAGCAGCCCTACAACAACCTCAAGCACAAGTTCCCCTGGCTGTCGGAGGCTGGGCAGCGGCTGCTCAACTTCCTCTTTATGTATGATCCCAAGAAACGGTAAGACACATCAGCAGCTCAGCCTGGGCAGGGGAGGAAGCCTGCTTCCCAAACAGGGCTGCGTGTGTCACACTGTCCCTAGGGCCAGGGGGAGCCAGGTCAGCACCTTCACGTATCCTCATCCCTGCAGGGGCACAGCAAAGGACTGCCTAGATAGCTCCTACTTCAAGGAGAAGCCCCTGCGTAAGTAGCCTCCCATGGGGCAGGGTTGGGGTGCTCTGTGCCCCGTTGACCACTGCTCTCTGCCCCACAGCCTGTGAGCCAGAGCTCATGCCCACCTTCCCGCACCACCGCAACAAGCGGGTGGCTGTCACCAGTGTGGGGATTGAGAGCCAGGCCAAACGCAGTAAGCCCTGAGCTCTGTCCCATGGGAGAAGCATGGCACATGCCAACTGGGATGGCTTTCCTCGGCTGAACAGCACCAAGGGCTTCAGCCCTTCCCAGGACGGCTCCCAGTGCGGAGATGGCCCGGCTGCAGTAGAGAAGCACTGTACCAGCTCCAGCGCGGAGCACCAAGAGCAGAAGAGAAATGAGGTGCAGGGATGCACAGGGCTCCATAGGAAGAGGCTGGCATGGGGCCCTCAGCCAGTGCTGGCTGCATGGTGTAACCCAGACTTTGCCATCAATAAAGGCACCTGCCAGCAGCTCAGAGTGATTTGCCTTATTCCTCGGTTCTGCCTGGGCTGGAAGCAGCCACAGCCCTGCTCTGTTCCCTTGTGCTACAGGCATAAGAGCATCCCTAGGCTCTGCCTCCCAACACAGCCTTAAATCTGCCTGGCCCCACTCTCCTTGGAGGAAAGAGCTGTTCCTGCAGGCCCCATCCCGCCCCTGTTCCCTGCTGCTGCCCCTGTACACCCCTGCACAGCATGAGGACACCACCACACTGCGAGGCAGCTGCACTTTACTGAGATGCATCCAGGCATGTACAATGGGAGGGCCAGGGCTGGAGCAGGCTCCCACCACCCTGGGGATGAAGCAGAGCATGGCCCATTCACTGCTCCCTCCCTGTGGAGCGAGCAAAGCGTCCCTCAGGCCCAGCAGTGGCTGTCCCCATCCCTTAGCGGGTGCAAGGGGATATGCACAGCAGCAGCACGCTGCAGTGCTACGACTGGGGTCCGCAGCTCTCGGACAGCAGCATGTCCACCTCCGAGCGCTGCAGCCAGAGCCGCTGCTGCCGCTCGCTGCGCAGCTCCTGCCCGCAGTGGCGGCTGCGACAGGCCAGCCCATCCGCGCAGGCACCGGCGTGGAGCTGCTGGCATGTGGTACAGCAGTAGGAGGGCAGCACGCCCGGGCGCAGGCACGAGTGCAGCTGGTAACAGGGCAGCTCTGGGGCCTCTTCAGGAGCTGAAGAGCAGGGAGAGTCCTGGGGCTCCCCCAGCACTGGGGGGGGTCTGCTCCCCACAGCCAGGGCAGGGAATAGGCTGCTGGCCCCACTGAGGTCCTGCTGCAGGAAGAGGTGAGAGGAGGAGGTGTCCAGGTCGGGGTTGCCGACAGGCAGCACCAGCTCCTGCCCAGCCTTGGGCTCTTTGCAGCAGTCCCAGCTCCTCATGGGCATGTCCAGGGCACCCACGGGGCTGCCAGGGTCACTCTGCAGTGCCTGGGGGGGGGTGTCCTCGCCCTCCACATCCTCGGGGCTGCTTGGCACGGCTTGGTAAAGGTCCACGTGGTCACTGCAGCCAACAGCCGCCTTGGGCTGCATCCCCATCTGCTGCAGCATCTCCACGCAGGCCTCCATGTCCGCAGCCAGCCATCGGGCCCGCAGCAGGTCCTCGGCGCTGGGCTGCTGTGGGTGCAGCCGCAGCACCACCTCCACCAGGATCTCACACTCCAGACGGCAGGCCAAGAAGCCGCAGGCAGCAGCGAGCAGCTCGGGCTCCGGGGGGAGCCGGGAGACCGTCAAGCGGTGCCGGTCCTGCCGTGCATAGCCCAGCCGGGCGAAGCTCCGCTCTAGGTCGTCTTCAGGGAGTGCTGAGCGCAGCGAGTGCACGTAGGCACCGGAAAAGGTCTGCAACGAGAGCGGCAGCACGGTTGGAACCCCGGGGTGTTCCCCCCCAAGCCCAGCCCCGGGGGCGCGGGCAGGCCCGCGGGCCCTCACCTTCACGGTGCCGAACTCCTTGCGCCAGGGGAAGAGGTAGAGGTTGATGGCCGCCAGCTCCAGCAGCCGGAAGGCGCGGGCCAGGCCCGGCAGTGCCTGCCCCGGGTCGGGCCAGCCCCGCAGCCCCCGGGCCAGCAGCTCGGGCGCGTCCTCCTGCAGGGCCCTCAGCACCGACGGCTCCCGCCGCAGCCGCCGCCGCAGCCGCTCCACGAAGGACGGGTCGGAGCAGGGCACGGCGCGGCCGCGGCGGAACTCGCGCTCCAGGCAGTGCCGGTACTGCTGCCCGTACTGCTGCCGCAGCGCCGAGCCCGCGCACATCCTGCCGGTGCAGGCAGCGTCAGCACCGAGCTCCCGCGCCCGCTCCACCCGCGCTTCCCTTCCTCTTCCCGCGCCACGCCCACCGCCCCGCTGACGTCACCGGGGCGCTGGAACCGCGGGAACGGAACCCGCGCCCCACAGCGCCCCCCGCAGGAAGGGAGGAGCAACCCCCGAGCCAGCCCCAGCTCTCCCCTTCCCCACCGCGGGGTCGGCTCGGTTCATCCCCACCAACGGGACCCCCGCGGCCCCACACCGGGTCCGCGGGGATGGGGACCAGCAGCACCTGGCGGTGGATGGCGGGGAGGGGTCCCCGCGGCTGCCTCCTCACTGCAGGGACTCCACGTAGGACAGGGCGCTCTGCAGGGACGTCAGGCAGTATCCCTCCTCCCCAATCAGGCACCTGCACCACGGCCACCGCAGCATCACAGCTGGGACACTGCCATGGCCACAACACTGCCATGGCCACCACACCGTCCCAGCCAGGACACCACCACCATGGCCGTCACACCATCACGACCACCACACCACCATGGCCACAACACTGCCACAATCACCACACTATCATGACTGCTACATGACCACAGCCAGGACCACCACAGGCAAGACACCAGGACACTGCCATTGGCCACGGAATTATCATGGCCAGGACATCACCATGGGCACCACTCTGCCATGGCCAGCCAGCACCACAGCAGCCAAGACACCAGGACACTGCCATGGACACCGCATCATCATGGCCAGGACAGGACACCACCATGGCCACCACACTGTCACAGCTGGGACACTGCCATGGCCACCACAGTATCATGGCTACCACATCATGGCCATGCCACAACCAGGACATTACCATGGCCATTACCCCATAGCCCTGCACCCATAGGAGCCACATCTCCCACCTGGCCCCCTCCCCATTCTTCCATCAATGCCTCCAGCCAGGGGGTACCCACACACCCCCAATGTTCCCCAGGCACTTACCCCTCGTGGATGAACTCCTCCAGGGCAGCACACTCAGACAGCAGCTGGGGCAGCCCTGTCTGCAGCACCACGTAGGACAGGATGGGCAGCAGGTCATCTGCCCCACTGCTGCCAACAGGAATCATCAGCCCCGTAGGCAGTGGGACCCCCCACATCCACACCTCCCATCTCCCCACCACAGCCCTGGCTCTGCTGTGTCTGGCCATGGGGCTGGCTGCCCTCCATGGCACTCACATGGCGGCGGTGGCGGGGGTCCGGCGGTCCCGAGCACCACAGTACTCCTCGGCACACTCGCAGATGCCGCGCAGGGCTCGCACTGTGGCACAGAACAGGGGATGCTAAGGCTCACCCCGGCACCCCCCCCCCCAGATCCCTCCCAGCCAATGCACTGACCAATGCACTCCAGCTTCCTCCGGGGACAGCTCTCCAGCGGGATGAGGCGCAGGTCCTCGATGGCAGAGCCATACACGGGGCAGCCGGGTGCCGTGGGCAAGAGCCGGGATGCCAGCCCCATGTCGGTGGGGCCAGCGTGCCGGTGCCGCTCCATGCTGCGGGCCAGGGCCGCCTCGCGGGTCTGGTGCACGCTCCTGCGGGCAGAGAGGTGAGGGGCTGCCGGGGAGGGGGCTCCGGGAGCCCAGCCCAGCCCTGGGGTCTCAGTACCTGTAGAGAGCCAACAGCGGGGCCCACAGTGGTGGGAAGAAGGCTTCCTCCAGGCAGGCCAGGCACTGGTCCTTGCCGGCGGCTGTGTTCAGCCCCTCGAAGGCCAGCAGCGTCAGGGACAGCAGCCTGTCTGAGAAGGGATGAGTTACGCAGTATGCTCAGTGAGTGACCCCAGGACACGCTGTACTCCCCACCCGGCCCCCTGAGATGCTCCAGCTAAAACAATGCAGTGCACTCCCCCAGATAGCCTACAGTGGGGGATGACTCCCCCGATCCCAGTGCCCATCCCTCACCGATGGCATTGTGGATGTCCCGCACGATGCCCTTCAGCTGCTCCGGTAGCGTCGCCTCTGTCCTGGGGACATCCAGGGGCTCCGCAGGGGCCCAGCCCTCAGGCGATGCCAGGAACCGCTCCAGGTCCTCAAAGGAGCTCTCCCGGGGGGTCTGGGGGGCTGCCGCTGGCCCTGTCCAACCGCCCTCTGCTTTTGGGGGGCCAGCAGCAGCGAGGGGCGTGCTGGAGACGCTGTGCCGCAGCCCGGCTGCACCATGCTCGGGCACTGAGAACATGCAGTGGAGGCTGCGGGAGGCACGGAGCCGGCGGCCCCCAGGCTCGGCGGGCAGTGAGCCCCCTGCGTCCAGTGGGAGAGAGCTGAGGCCAGCAGGGGACCCCGCGGCAGAGTCGGCAGCGCCACGGCTGACAGCCGGGTACAGGCGGGTGTACACCGCGCACTGCAGCTGCCGCAGGAGCTGTGCGATGGGGTGATCAGGGAAGCTGGAAGCATAGGGAGCGGTGGGCAGGGGGCATCAGCATGTGGCTGCAGCCCCCTTGCTCCAAGAAGGGTCCTTCCCCATCCCAGCACTACCTGAGGAGACAGGAGAAGAGCCCTGACACCAGGGAGAGATCCGTTGGGCTCCTCTTCAGCTTGGCTTTCCACTGCCTTGGCCAGTCCTGGGAAGCATCAGATGGGATGGCAGAGCACCCTGCCCCATGGCATCCTGCCCCCACAGTGACTGGGGATTGCACAGCACCCTGCCCCATGGCACAGCACCCAGGGACATCAAGATTTTCTGCCCAACAGCACCTGAGGGCAGCACGCATCCTGCACCCATGGCACAGTTCTTTGTCCCCACTCAGCCTCTGGTGTGTACTCACATGGTCCTGCTCATACTCGAGGATGGCAGCGTAGAGGGCTCTCTGCTCCTGCTCCTCAGGCGTGAGGGCCACGCTGCTGGAGAACCTCCTGTGGGTGGAATGGTCCTGGTAAAGGCACTACCAGGGTGACCCTGCACCGCAGGGTCCCTGCTGGGACACCCCTTTACCTGTTGGCAGCCTCCTGCAGCCGCAGCCGCCGCTCCTCCATCTTCCGCTGCAGCTGGGCCAGGGCAGAGTTAAGGCTCTGGAGCTCCCGCACCCCTGCAACAGCCAGCGCAACCGGCTGACAAGCACAGCTCCCAGGATCAGCCCTTCCCCACCTCCATCATCCCACCAATGAGTGGGATCCCTCAGGGATCGGTGTTGGGACCGGTCTTGTTCAACATCTTTGTCACTGCCATGGACATGGGATTGAGTGCGCCCTCAGCAAGTTTGCCGATGACACCGAGCTGTGTGGTTTGGTTGATACCCTGGAGGGAAGGAGGGACCAGGAGGGCCATCCAGAGGCACCTCGACACGCTTGTGAGGTGGGCTGATGCCAACCTCATGAAGTTTAACCATGCCAAGTGCAAGGTCCTGCACCTGGGTCAGAGCAATCCCAGGCACAGCTACAGGTTGGGCAGAGAAGAGATTCAGAGCAGCCCTGCGGAGAAGGACTTGGGGGTGTTGGTCGATGAGAAAATGAACATGAGCCGGCTTCAGTGTGCGCTTGCAGCCCAGAAAGCAACCGTATCCTGGGCTGCATCAAAAGCAGCGTGACCAGCAGGTCGAAGGAGGTGATCCTGCCCCTCTGCTCTGCTCTTGTGAGACCTCACTTGGAGCATTGTGTGCAGTTCTGGTGTCCTCAGAAGAAAAAGGACATGGAACTGTTGGAACAAGTCCAGAGGAGGCCACGAGGATGATCAGGGACTGGAGCACCTCCTCTATGAAAACAGGCAGAGAAAACTGGGGCTGCTCAGTCTGGAGAAGAGAAGGCTGCGTGGAGACCTCATAGCAGCCTTCCAGTATCTGAAGGGGGCCTATAGGGATGCTGGGGAGGCACTCTTCATTAGGGACTGTAGTGACGGGACAGGGGCTAATGGGTTAAAACTTAAACAGGGGAAGTTTAGATTGGATATAAGGAGGAGGTTCTTTACCTTACAGTAAGGTGGTGAGGCACTGGAATGGGTTGCCCAGGGAAGCTGTGAATGCTCCATCCCTGGCAGTGCTCAAGATCAGGTTGGACGAGGCCTTGGGTGCCATGGTTTAGTGTGGGGTGTCCCTGGCCATGGCAGGGGGGTTGGAGCTGGATGATCCTAGGGTCCTTTCCAACCCTAACTATTCTATGATTCTATGATCAGCAGCATGGGAGCAGGACCCCAAAAGCCTGTCTGGGGTCAGCCCAGGGCTGGGGCGGGCACAAGTACCAGGGATGGGAGATGTGGGGCTCTGTGGAGCCCGGCACACCCTCACCACCAGGAAGGATACAGTCTCCTCCCGGGCCTTGGCGATCACCAGGTTCTCCATCATCTGCCGCTGCAGGGACAGCGTCTGTGAAGCAAGCAGCGTGTTGGGGACATCTGCCCAGAGCCACCAGCACAGCCAGCACCGAGCAGGGGGCCCCTGGGCACTGCAGGGACCCTCTCCCCTCCCAGCCCACCCCGGGGGGGGCTCCCCACTTGCCAGGGACGTCTTCTGCAGGGCCTGGTTGGGGTTCAGCCGTGCCACCCGCGCCTCGTAGGCAGCCTTCAGCTTCTGGTTCTGCAGAGATGCCTCTTCCAGCGGTGTCAGCTCCCTGTTAGGAACCTGCCCTCAGCACCCACCACAAGGCACAGCGATAGGTGACAGGGCCCCTTCCCTGCCGTGCCCCACTCCTGGCACAGCCAGAGCCTGGGTATGGTCCATGCCAGCCCCACAGCCCCCAAGCAGGCCTGGGGCTGCACGTACTTGCGCGCGCTCTGCGCCTCGGTGATCTGCAGCTTCTGGAAGATCTCCGGGGGCAGGAATGGGGAAAGCTTCCCTCCCTCATCCGAGAGGACTCGGCGGTGCCTGGGGAGGGCAGCGGGGGCCCCGCTCCGCTCCTGCGCGGCCGGTTTGGCCTGGGCTTTCCCTATGGAGGGAAGGAGAGGTCACTGTGCCCCTCCACAGCCCGGCACAGCCTCCCCCGCCCCGGGGTCCTGCAGTCCCCCGCACTCACCCAGCGCCGCCGCGATGGACTTCACCCTCTCCAGGCACTGCTCTGCCAGCTTCAGCATCTTCGGCGTGTCGGCGGTGACCGCCTCGCTGCCGTCTACGGGAGGGCAGGGTGCTGCTCACCCCACACGGACACCGGCCACGGACCGCTCCGGCACCGCGGCGGGCACCGAGGTCACTGCCGGGCGCTGCCTTACCTGCCCCCGCCGCCTCCTCCTGCAGGGCCTGCGCGATGAGGGCGATGCTCTTCAGGTATTCCACGTAGGCCTCCTGCCGGGGACACGGGGCTGAGCCGCGGACCCCGGGTGCACGGGACCCCTGAGCTGCCTCCTCCTGCCCGGCACCCCCGGCCGCAGCCCCGGCGAGCGGCCGGGATCGGGCCCATCCCCGCGGTAACCAGGGTGTGTGGGACACACACACACACGGCCAGGCCACCCCATGGCCTCGGAGGGCCGCCGGGCCGCCGGGGAGGCCGAGCCCGTGGGGAGGCCCCGGGGGTCCCGCTCCGCGCTCACCCGCGTCCGCCCGGCACTGTCCATCTCCAGGGCGCCGCTGGCCGCCCGCATGGCGGTCTGCAGGGCCCGGCCCGCCCCGGGCCCCCACGGCCCCGCAGGGCCGCCGCGGCCCGCCGCGGCCATGGCGGCCGCCGCCCGGAACGGCGCGATCGGGCCGCGGCGCCCTAGGGGGGAGCGCGGCGGAGACGGACCGGGGGCGGGGTCCTCCGGGCGGCAGGGGGCGCTGCGGCGGGCGGGGCGGGCCGGGCCCGCGGCGGCGGCGGCGGGGATGAAGCGCGATCGGCGCGGCCGGTTCCTGGCGGCCGCCGGCGGCCCCGGCGCGGAGCCCCCCGAGCCACGGCGGCGTCCGGGCACGGCGGCCCGCGGGAGCGAGGCGGCGGCGAGGCCCGAGCCCACAGCGGGGTTGGCCCCGGCGGCCGCCGCAGCCGCTTGGACACGGCCCGCAGCGCTCGGCGGGGCCCCGGAGGCAGGTGAGGCCCGGCCGGGGCGGGGGCACCGGGAGCCCGCAGACGGGAGCGACGGAGCAGCCACGCACCGGGACGGGCCGCGGGGCGTCCCGGACCGGGCTCGGTGCAGCGGCGGACGGGCCTGGGGATGCCGGTAACCGGCGCGGTACGAGGGGCTGGGGCAGCACGGAGTGGCGAGCTCTTACCTCCGTGCTCCGGTGCCGAGAGGGAGCCGAGAGCCGAGCCGGGGCGGCTGCGGCGGGAGATAAGCCCGAGCACGGAAGGGTTGGAAGTTGAGCGTCTGAAGAGCGACCGGGGCTTGCAGGCGGGACCGGTCCCCTGCGGGCTGTACCGGAGGGTTTCCCTCACTCCGGTCCAGGAGGTTTCCTGGGATGGAGCCGTGCTCCGCAGAGCAGGAATGCCACGGGCGGGGGCTGCCGTATGGGAGGGCAGCATGGTCAGGGAACAGGGAGCGGGAAGGGTGCGTTGCATCGTGCGCCGGGATCACAGAATCCCAGCCTGGTTTGCGTTGGAAGGGAGCTTAAAGCTCACCCAGCTCCAACCCCTGCCACGGGCAGGGACCCCTTCCACTGGAGCAGCTTGCTCCAAGCCCCTGTGTCCAACCTGGCCTTGAACACTGCCAGGGATGGGGCAGCCACAGCTTCTCTGGACACCCTGTGCCAGCGCCTCGGCACCCTCAAAGGGAAGAACGTCAGCCTTATCTCCAACCTGAACTGCCCTTGTGTAAGTTTAAACATCCCAGCTCCCTGCCTGCTGCAGGGCACCACTGACACCTCGCAGGCTGAAGGCTGCCACCAACGGCTATAAATACGTTAGAGATAAATACCCTGCAGGGAGAAGATCTGCTTAAGCCGAGGGATGATGCTGGCAAAGCACACACTTGAGGGAGTGAGCCCCAGGAATGCTGCAGCTGGGAAGAGGATCCTCCATAGCAGCAACGAGGAAAAGCAGAGGCTGGTTTGGGGGTCAGCTGGTTGCAGAGCAATGCCCTGGTCTGCAGGGAAGGGTCACAGGGAAAGTGTCTTGCTTCCTGCCTGGCTTTTCCATGCTCATGTTGGGCTTTATAGGCAGCCTGGATTAAGGGAAAGGGAATGTCTTCCTGCACGCCACCACCGTGGGGCTGTAGGTGGCTGGGGTACTCCTGCAGCAGGCACTCAACGGCTGTGTTCAACCCTTCTCTGGCAGGAATTGGCCGAGCCCTGAGCACTGGGTATTGTCGCCTGTGCCACGGGAAGTTCTCATCCAGGAGCCTGCGCAATGCCTTCGGGAAGGTGCCGGTCATGGGGGAGAACTCGGAGAAGCAGCGCCGCGTGGACCAGGTCTTCTTCACCGACTTCCAGCGGCTGGTCGGCGTGGCGGTGCGGCAGGACCCCGCGCTGCCGCAGTTCGTCTGCAAGAAGTGCCATGCCCAGTTCTACAAATGCCGCAGCGTCCTCAGGACCTTCATCCAGCGCGTGAACGCGTCCCCCACGGGCCACACGAAGTCCAAAGGAAAGTACGTTGTGTCTCTTGCTTCCCGGGAGCGGTAAATGGCCACGTGTCGATGCCAGGTGCTTCTGTAACCCCCGAGACCTCACTGGGCTGTTCTGGGTTTTACAGGAGCGGTGTGGCTCAGGCCCAGCAGGGAGCAGAAGGAGGTGCCTCCTGCCTGGGTGAGTGCCTGCCCCCTTTCCCTTTTTTTCCCCTTCCTTTTGTCCTCTTTTCCCCTTCCTTCCTCTGTTTTTCTTTCCCTTCCTTTCTCACTTTCCCCCCAGCTTCATTTCTCCCTTCCCTCCCCCCCCGCCTTCTTTTCTCCCTTTTCCTCCCCTTCTTTTTCCCCTTCTTTTCCTTTCCCTTTTTGTGATGCCATCAGCACAGGGCTGGGTTTTTGGGTGTCAAGGGACTCCTCAAGCTGAGCTGCACAGTCACAGTCTCACACCACAAAGTGTGAGGCAGTAGCATGAAGAGAGGGTTTGGGTGGCAGTGCCAGGCCTGTTTCCACCACAGTCAGACACAGGGGACAAACAGAAATACACTCTCTGCTGTATAACTAACGATATCAGCAGCCAGTGGGGCAGCCCCAGAGCATCTTCAGGGGGTCTCGCAACTGCCCTGTCCCCTCCTTTGGGAACACCATGTCTCTCCCCACGGATGACTGTCTCTTGCTGTCCTGACTGACCATCCATGTGCCGCCTCTCCCCTGGCAGTCGACCTGATCACGTCAAGCCCACAGTGCCTGCACAGCCTGGTGTCATGGGCGCACCGGCACGCCGGGAGCTGCACATCGGCACCCAGCCTGCAGAGCGTGCTCTCCTCCGAGTACTGCGGCATCATCCGCGCCGTCTGGGGATGTGGCAATGGCCACGACTACGTCATGGACACCGATTCGGACTGTAGCACGGTGCTGGTCGACAGCGCCTTGTCTGTCAAACAGGAGTGGAACAAGAGCACAGCACAGCACTTAACTGACAATGGGGCAGAGGCAGACAATGCCGAGGCTGTTTCTGCTCCTGAGCCTCAGCATGCTCCAGTAAGGACAACTCCTTGCCAGGAGCCTGCAAACAAAGGGACCACATCGGTGCCACTGAACGTAAAGAATGAGCCGCTGCAGAACAGGGATTCATCTCACTCACAACTGGACAGCACAGTGCCCTTGCAGGAGACAGCCCTGCCGCAGCCTGTGTCACCAGTGAGCAGTGCCACAGGTAAGGGATTTGCTTTCTGATCTCCCCCCCAGGCCTCTGGGGAAGGATGAGGAACTGCAGAGCTGGCCCAGGGGCTGGCCCCCTACTTGGACACTGTTGTGGTGCAGAACAGTCACTGGTTCTCCAGCACCATGTTTGCCAGATGTTCCTTTCTGCTCAATTCAAACCCCATCCTTTTGAGGGCAAGGAGAGGCTTGCTGGCCCACTGCAGGTGATGCTGAACAGCAGGAGCCCCTTCTCTCCATAAAGGAAAATTGCCAGGCTCATAGGCTGAGTTACTGCTGAACTCCCCGCAGCGCCGCTTGCAGAAGAGAGGAATTAAATTAACACTGATTCTGAGTTACAAGTCAGGCTGCCTTTAGCTCTGACAGCCACTGCTGGAAAGGGGAATGGAAGCTGGGACACGTTGTGGGATGACTCATGAGGGAAACTGAAAGATGCTCAGGGGAACTGCAGGGTAAAGGCTCTCCTGTCCCTGAGCACATGAGACATGGAGTTAGGTTTAAATAATCATTAACTTTATTCGGTGTGGGCCATGCTAAGTGAACCCAGAGCGGCTGGTTCCTTCCTGGCAGCCATCTCCTCTGGCTTGGTTTTGCTGCTTTTCCTTGTAACACACCGTGTTCTCCTTCATTCCCTAGGACAGTTGAGTGGGAAGCAGGTTCTGTCTGCAACGTCGGATGAGCGGGTAAAAGACGAGTTCAGTGACCTTTCTGAGGGGTGAGAGAAGAGTGGGTTTAACATAGCCTAAATGTCTTCTTTGCGAGTATGCCAAACCCACCTCAGAGAGCTCTTTCTCCACCAGTGACCCGGCCCTCGAGGCCCCTCGGAACCAGTGTCGGAGGTGGATGGAGCTCATGCTGCTGGGGTTTGCACAGTGGTGTGTGTGGTTTTGCACGCACATGTGCTCTCTGTGCTGGCCACTTCCAGCAAACCTGGTCCTGTTTTGTTCCCTGCCCTGGGGAAGGAACCATGTGGGGGCTTGCTGGGGCCTGGGTTGTGCTGCTCCAGCCCCTCAGAGCAATTTCCCTTCATGGCTGCTCCATGCTGGGGCTCCAGAAAAGCAGTCGGTGCGAGGGGTTGGCAGTTGAAGTGTGACTAAATGGGAGGTGGGAGGGACACTGACAGCTTAGCAGTCTTTATGATCAAAGAGTTGGCTAAATCCCTCAAATGCTGGCATTTAAAGTGAGGGTTGTAAATAACAGAACTGAGTCTGAAGTATGGCCTAGTGCACATTTATTTAATTGTGTCAGCTGACCCCATCAGCTGTCACATTAAAAGTGCCACAGTAACTTATTGCCTGTTTCCTGGCCTCAGAATTAATTGCTTCTTGTATGGCTTAGGACTTAAAAGGAGAAAAAAGTAAAACCAAAACCTGTGTGGTTGCTGTGCATGATGAAATACAGAATGACCTGCAGCTTAACCCGTACCAGATAATTATATTACATTCTGCTGTAGAAAATTACTTTCCCAGTAAAGAAAGTGGTGGCAACATCCCTCAACAATAAATAGATCTTTCAGTAACAGCTGATTTTGTTCTCCTGACAGAGGTTCAATTATTCTTACAGAGATCTAGTCCTAAAAGAACCCGAATTTGCTGTTTGCTGTGTGCATGGGTGCTGTGTTTGCCTGGGGAGTTTATGGGGGAGGAGGACACGTGGAGCCTCGGCTGCCGTGCCGTGGGGGAGGTGGATGTGCTGGGAGCAGAGAACTCATGCTGCTGGTGCTGAAGAGCCAGGGTGGTGCTCTGTGGGTAAAGGGCATCTTCTTTCTCTCAGGGATTTCTTGAGTGACGATGAAAACGAGAAGAGAAACGTGCAGTCTTCAGATGACTCCTTTGAGCCCTACCCCGAGAAGAAGTAAGGGGCTTGTGGTGGGTGCGGTGAGCGGAGTGCTCTCTGGGTGAACGGGAGGGATGGTGCCTGCTCTGCAATGGACTTGGCTTGGCCAATGCCACTGCTTTCCTTTGTGGCCTCTGTTCCCTGTAAGTTCATGCCTGGAGGCCGCAGTCATGCCCAGTGCCTGTGTTCCGTGAGCTCCCCATTGAGTCCAAGCTCATCCCTCAACTCCAGGCTTGGCACTGATTACCACAGCTCAGCTTGTCCACACGTTCCTGCTTTGCCAGGGCAAGCATCGCGCAGAGCTGACACTCAGGGACAATTAGGTGGGAGAACTAAAACCAAAATTAAGTATTAAACCATTGTCCTTGTTCCTTCTTGGAGGGTTTCTAGCAAGAAAAGTGACAGCAAAGAAGTAAAGAAGGCAGAAGAGCCCAAAATAAGGAAGAAGCCAGGACCTAAGCCAGGCTGGAAAAAAAAGATTAAGTGTGAGAGGTAATAAGGAGTTAGGTGGCTGGGCAGTGCCCCCACTCAGCACGCTGGCTGATGGCAGGGCTCTGTTTCACAGGGAGGAGCTGCCGACCATCTACAAGTGTCCTTACCAGGGATGCACGGCTGTCTACAGGGGGGCCGACGGCATGAAGGTGAGTCAGGGTTTGCTCCTGTCCCAAACCTGATGCTTTCAGTACTGCAAAGCCACCTCCACATGAGGAGAGAGGCACCAGCAGATTTAATTCGCTGACTCTCTATAAGCACTATGAGCAGTCTGCTGAAAGAAGCTTTTTTCTGTGCTCCCAAACATAATAGGGGTGCTCTTCCTGGTCTGGAATTCTGCCACTGGCTCAGCAGCAGCCCTCAGCCCAAGCTCTGCTGTGTTCCATTAGAGCCCCTGCTGCCAGGGGTAGATTTGAGTCCAAGTGTCTGGTTTCTCAGTGAAGCAGTGCCAATGCACGAGCCTGCCAAGATGGTCTTTGAGGGATTCAAGCTTTTGGCTGGGGAAAATGCAGCCAGTGCTTAGAAGCTTTGTCCTTCCTTCACAGAAGCATATCAAAGAGCACCATGAGGAGGTGCGGGAGAGGCCCTGTCCTCATCCAGGCTGCAACAAGGTGTTCATGATCGACCGGTACCTACAGCGTCACGTGAAGCTCATTCATACAGGTGTGTCACAGCCAGCAACAGCATCACAAACACCCAACACTTGATTGCACAAGGCTTGTAGGTGCTGTGGCAGGGCGCTGTGTGGGGTGTAGAACTGCCTGTAAACCTGGAACAAGGCATCGTGTGGGGGATGCGAGGCAGGGGGAGGAATTCAGGCTCCATCAGAGTGTGGGCAGCTGCACGTGTGCTTTTCCCATAGTAGGAACTAAGCAGAATCATTACTCTCTCCTGTTTTCCATTGCAGAGGTACGTAATTATATCTGTGATGAATGTGGGCAGACCTTTAAGCAACGCAAACACCTCTCAGTCCATCAGATGCGTCACTCGGGAGCAAAGCCCCTTCAGTAAGTGCACACCAACCCTGCCTTCATAGCTGAGAGAAGGGCAGTGAAGTTCTGCTGAGCCCTCACAGCCACTGAGCTTAGCCCAGAGTGATTCTGTGACACAAACCCTGCCTGTAGCTGGCAGCATCCTGGCTGAATCACTTTAAATGTTCATCCTGTTTAAATGTTCCTGTTGCTGAGCACGTTATTACATCTCCTTCTGATGATGTTGCTGTTTTGAGTTCAGCAGGGGAGGGCTCAGCTACCACCAGCGAGCTGCAGGCCTGAGGAGAGGATTGTGTTGGATGATTGGGGTGGCTGTAGGAGACAGTGTGAGGCTGTGGTTGTCTTGTGGGGCTTCTTCAGTGTGACAGAGAGCTTCAGGCTCAGTGCTGAGCCCCTGCTTTGCCTTGCAGATGTGAGATCTGTGGCTTCCAGTGCAGGCAGCGAGCATCGCTCAAGTACCACATGACCAAACACAAAGCTGAGACAGAGCTGGAGTTTGCCTGTGACCAGTGTGGGAAGCGCTTCGAGAAGGCCCATAACCTTAATGTCCACATGTCCATGGTGCACCCTCTCATCCAGATTCAGGACAAAGCCAAGCCACTGGAGCCAGAGCCCATTCTCCTAAATACTTCAGGGACTTCGGAAGGCCAAGTGGTAAAGCCAGAAGTGACTGCACAGCAGGAGCCCACCTGAGGGGTTCAGGGGAGCTTTCCCAGTCCAGTCCTGTAGAAACCATATGGCAGAGCAGAGATTTTTAATCTACAGTTTAGTCTCCCAAAGAACTCGGTGGAATTAGCTTCAGCTTGCTCAGAAAAAGCTTGTTTTCATGCTGTGATCCTCCATGCTCACGTCTGATTCAGCAGTGTTGTACTAAGAGTCTGTCTAACCCCAGGGGAGTGGATGTTCGGCAGCACCCCTTCGTGGTCCCCCTTTCTCCCCACGCACACAGTTGTAGAAGCAGAGTTTGCCACAACTGTTCCCTGCCTGCAGGAGCTGCTGCTGCCTGTACTGAAGTGCCCATGTGTGGCTCTAGGGGATTATCTAGGACAGTGGAGCGAACTTTAAGCAGCCATTTTTGTTCTGGATTAAAAAAAAAAAAAATTATTCCCAAAGCAAGTCTAAACTGAAATTTGCAACCTACTTTTTATTGTAACAAGAGCTTCATGGTTATGCTTGTAATAAATTATTTACAAAGTAATTTGAAAGGAAGAGCAGTAGTGAGGAAGGTGGCACCTTGTCTGGCCCTTCAGCCACAGGCAAGGTGCTCTGCTGGGCCATGCACTGCCTGCTGCCCTGCCTGTCCCTCAGAACAGAACCAGTTCTTCATCCAGCTCCATGGTTGCAGAGGGCCTCAAGATGTGCAAGAGGGTGGCTCCCAGCTCTGGGTCGAATTCTTCACACGTGGCCAGTAGCTGGGGGGAAAGGGTGAATAGCATTAGACCCCCTCATGTTCCTCAAAGCAAGGCCAGAGCATCTTGCTGCTTCTCAAAAGCACAGGCAGAAGAGAGAAGCTGTTGCTGACTCACACAGAAGTAAGAACATTTCCTGGCTAACCTGTGGGGAACTTCAGTGCCTGCCCCCTTACTGTGCTTGATATTTCCCCCAAGACCAAGCATTAAGCAGTGGGAGTGAGACTGCAGAAGGGCAGCATTAATGTTGCTGAGGAAGATGGAGCCTGCAGCCCGGGGTTGGGAGGACAAGGCTATAGCAGTGGTTGAGCAGCAGGTGTCCTCCACTGCTCCCAAATGAGTTGCAGAAACCGTGTTTGTCACAGGCTCAGCAGACAGCACCAGCACAGCATCGGCACCCAAGAAAAGCAGGGTAAAGAGGGGGGAATCTCAACACACCGGTTGTATGTTTCCAAAGCTTTGGGCAGGGCATTGTGGGATCACACCAAGCAGGAACCGCCGGGCTGTGGAGAGCACCTCCAGGAGATCCCCCTGGAGAACAGGGAAGAGACGCAGCCAGTCAGGACCAAGCACAGTGTCACTTTGAGTTCTCAGTCCCTGCCTTCAGAAATGAAAAGAGGAACCAGTATGCCACACCAAGGGGCTGTTCACAAGTTAAGCAGATCAATACAGCCACACTGAGGTCCCGTACAAGGCAGTTTTGGGCAACAGCATGGCATCAGCTTCTCTCATCCCCAAGGCCTGAGCAAGCTTCCTGCCTGCCAAAGCAGCTGCACAAGCTCCCTCGGCCTCAGACAGGAAGGTAGGAACAAGGGGGATGCTGCAAGTGGCAGAGGAAGGGATAAGAATAGGATTCATGGTTCTCTTTTTCAAGACAAAAAAAAGGGACTGAGCTTCACTCACATGCTCTGTGGGGTCTGAGCTCTGGCTCGCTTGATCAGGCTGGGGCAGGTCTTTCCCTTCCACAAAGAGCTGAAGCAGCTGGATGTAGAAATCAAGTGCCACATAGAGAAAAGTCTGTTCCCGAGTGAGCAGCTGCTGGTGAAAGCCTGGGGTGAGGCTAAAGGTCACACAGGAGGTCTGGTTAGCACTGGTTCCACGACAGACACACAGAGCAAACACAGCCAGTGCCTTTGCTCTGGTTTACAAGTCCCACTGTGTGCAGGGCCACCCCACTGCTGGAGCAGGAGGGCAGCCAGGGACACTCCTGTTTGGAGCACAAAGCTGAAGAGGAACTTCCAGCAAAAAATACAGGGCTCCTTAAATATGAATCCTGTGAGATCAGGTATTCCCTCCCACACAGCTAAGGTAAGAGCTCAGCTCATCTACAGGCCAGTAGTAGTTACCCCTATGCCAGCTGCTGTACAGAGAAACCATCAGCCACATCCCCCCTCACAAACACCACCTGAGCCCAGCAGGTTGTTACCTGTAGAATGCAAGAGGCAGGAGCCTGATGTGATGGTCTGAGGCTGCACTGCGAAGGACACAGTACTGCCTAGTGTCTGCAGTGGACAAAAGAGAAGAACTAAGCATCTTTCATGATCCTCATGCCACTCTGCATGCTGCTATAGCAGCACAGGGGAAGCAGAGTTTCCTTCCAGGCCACAATAAACACTAGTGAAGGAAGCTGTCCCCACTGAGGCTTTCTCTGCCAGAAGGAACAATACTGAGTTTCAGTCACTCCTGCTCATCAGCTGTGTCACCAGACTGCAGGGTATTAGCAGGACCTTCTCAGCTTTTACTGAAGCAAGTCTCTTTTTGTGCTGCTAACAAAGGCCAGCTTTGTACACTCATTGATCAGAGACAGGACATGCCTGTCCAGCACTGAACCTCACCTTCCCACCCCTTGGCAGCAGGACTCACTCACCTTTCTCTGCTGAATGGAAGAGCAGTGGCCAGGATGCACCCCTCTCTTCCAGGCACTGCAAGATCTCCAGGGACCATTCTAGAGATGTCTGAAAATCCACTCCCTCCTGGGCATCAGAAAGGACAGGTCTAGTCTGGCTTTAGATGCACCGAAGCAGAAAGGAACCGCTCACAAGAAATTTTGTACATAAAGAGTTCCATTAAAGGACCTTTAGGAATTTAGCCCACATCTTTCCCCTCACCTGGCAGCCTGGATTCTCCTGGGCAACCAGGCACCAAAGTAGCACAGTGCCTTCATCACCAAACAAGGCCACCACAGGGCTCAGTTGAGAATGATTTGTGGAGGAGGAGAAGCAGCACCAATGAGCAATTGGCTCATCCCCAGCATACTTCCCAGTGGTGCTCGGCATGGAGCTACTGCATGTCCTGCACCAACCCACCCTGCTCCCCAGAGCAGGCTTTTTCCCCTCTAACTTTCTAGTGACAGCATGTCTTGGGATTGTGGGGTTGGGTTTTTATTTTGCATTAATTATTTTACTTGGAATAACCTCCCAGATGTTTCTTTGCTCAACAACTCTTTCTGCAGACTACTCCCAAAGGCAGACTATGATTATGTTTCACTGGAATCTGCTCCCTTATCCAATCTGTAGGTGACTACACAAATGGTTGCACTTCAAAGCTGTGAAGACAGCAAAGGGACAGAAACAGGCATTCACAGGCAGGAGGGTGCTTAGGGCAGGCAGCTGCTGGAAGAAACCTGTCATTTTTGCTCCTTCATTTAATAGTATTAAATCATTTGGAAACTAAAGTTCCCCCTTGCTGGTGACCCTTTCTCCTGTGAAACATCATGTACATTCCAGCTTTAGGAAAAACATCATCTAACAAATGTGAAATGCTGCAAAAAAGAGAAGATAGAGAGGAGGTTCCTGCACTACCTGGGAGGTGTAAAGCCTGGACAGGGAACTGAAAATTGTAAGTCATTCAGGAAGAGAAATAAAAGCTACTGTAGTGAAAAGGAAGATAAGGTCAGTTAGAGGGAAATACAGGTTTAATCTGGTCAGAACAGAAGGCTTTCAGCAGGCCCTGTCTGAGACATCACTGATCCCTTCCTTCTTGCAGAACAAGCTACCAGCCTCCACAGTACTGGTGCAAAGCATTTTTAGGCAGCAAACCAAGAAGATCAGACACATTTAGTGCCATGAGAATTCCCTCAGGGTTGAATTTACCTTTGGTGCTATTTTTGCTGAGATGAGATCCATGAGTGAGAAGAACAGTAGAGAAACAAGAAGCTGCAAGGAAAAGAGACTGCCTGTTAGTTGTATCCGTGGTGGTGACTCAGAACATGCACCTTCCCATTGGGAAATAAACACTTCACTGAGTATGTTCCCAGGATGGACCTGGATGAACCGCAAGCACTGCTGTTCCTCCCAGCTGAAGGCAGTGTGTTTGGAGATGACAGCCTGACATTGTCTGTTGCTTTTAAGGGTGTACTACACACCCAGTTCACTATTCTCAAAGTCAGACAACAGATGACAACTTCTCCCAGTGAAGGAAAAACTGAGTGAGCTACCACAGACATAAACCTGGAGGAGAGCTAGTGTTGGTCTACAGCCACCATGCCACCAGCAGATGCAAGTGCGTCGTAATCCTGTCCTAACATACACTGGTTATGGCTTTTCTGTATCGCTACTGCAAAAAAATCAAAGGATGCAGTGGCTCTGTGATCCTGGAAAGTAACTTCTCTATTTATGCTGCTAATCCAGTTGTAAAGCTAACCCTCCTTTCTTATCTATGTCTGAGAAAAGAGAGGGCCAAGCCAGACAGCACTTTCCATGCACAGCAGGTCTGTCTGCACATTCATAGTGGTCAGGGCAAGAAACATGGCAGTGAGAGACCTTTCCCTTCAGCTGAGAGCTTTCCAGAGGCACAGACTGCTGCACATGGATGAATCAAACAAAAACGAGAGGCACAAGTGGAATAGTTGCGTTCCTTGGATTTAACTGAAGTGTCTCAACCCCAAAAAGGTGGCTAATCCCACAACACTCCCATTTCTGACAGATTTGCCCCTTAAAGCTGTCACCTGAAGGGATGCAGCTCCCAACACCAGTGCTGTGTACAGAACTAAGTCCCCAATACACAGAGACCTGTGCAGTCCCACAGGCACCAGAGCACCAGTTGGGAGTGTGAGCTGGGGCCTGAACACCAGTCAGCCGCTGGAACCCCCACTGTTCTTACTCTTCCTGGCATCCTCCTCTCTCAAGGCAGGTTTTTGAGGTGAAAGCTGCTGTTACTCCACATGTACCAAATGCTCACATCAACTCAGTGACACCAGTTTCTGACTAGCAGCTTTTGGCTCTCAGCCAGTATAAACAGTAGAGGAGTAAATCCCATACCAAGAGGAACTGCTACCCTCACTGCTGCCCCAAGCAATAAACTGGAGAGTAAACAGTAAGCCACAGGTTCTGCTTCAACAGTGTTTGCCTGTGAATATTCTAATACAGTGACACTTTCCATATGGAGCTCTGGTCCCAGCTATCCCCTGCAAGATCAACAGACAGCACTGCGGGGCAGCAGCCCAGCTCCCTCCTCAGCAGGGTGCTTCAGATAATTCCCATGCACTGAGGGCACAGAGCATGGAAAGGCATTTCCTGGAACAGACTTGGGAAAAGCCTCCAGAAATCTCTCCCTGGGATTCCCAGCGTGTCTTTTGAGAGCCCCTGAAACATGTGCATTCCTGTCTCACAGACTTTCTGCATCTCCTTAATCTTCCAGCCAAGTTGCCTGTGCTAAAATCCACAGGGAGAGGTGATCCTGGCATGCCATGGATTGAGCTCTCCGTCCCTGCAGTGATCTCTCCAGCTTCAGCTTTTATAGCAGCTGATTATTAGTGCTCCCTGGCTTCACAAAGGAGTCAATAATGAGT